ATTTAATCACGATATCTCGAATGTCGTAGAGGATGATTTGATTTTTTTTTTCCTTTTTCCTTTTCTTTTTTTCTTTTTTTTTTTTTATTACTTGGAATTTCTGTTTCTCGTTCTGGTTATTTCTTACGGTGTATTTCTCTTTCTCTCTCTCTCTCTCTCTCGAGGGGTGTACTCTCTACTCACTACTCTCCTGTCCGGTGACTAACTAGATTGACTCGTCCACTCGTAGAAAACGTTCCGATTCGAGAGGATTGGAAAAAAAAAAAAAAATCCAAGGATAATTTCTTCGTTTCTTCGTAGAACCGGGTACCGCACCGCGGAAGGTTCAAGCCCGGCCATTGAGCTCGAGCACGATGGTGATACAATGGGTCGAGCCAGAGACACCGAACGGGCAAGTGACGGTTAGTTTTCTCAAACGACTCGTTCTCTTCCATCCATCCATCCATCTGGATCGATCTTTCCAATCTCTTTGCTCTCTTCCTTTGCAGGGTTACAAGATATACTACACGACGGATCCGAATCAACCGATGGCCTCCTGGAAGTATCAGATGGTTGACAACAATCAACTGACCACCATCTCGGATCTGGACACCCACACGATATACACGATTCGGGTGCAGGCGTTGACGAGCGTCGGCCCCGGCCATTGAGCACACCCGTCCAGATTAAGACGCAACAAGGGGTACCGAGCCAACCGGAGATGTTGACCGCGATAGATATCGGGGAGACCACGGTAACCCTCCAGTGGAATAAACCTATTCATAGCGCGGAAAATATTCTCAGCTATGAATTGTATTGGAACGATACTTACGCTCAGGTGGGTCAACATCGACGTTTTTCTTCTCTCTCTCTCTCTCTCTCTCTTCCGCTTCTCTCCTACTCCCCTCCCTCTCCCCCTCTCTCTTCCCGGAAAATCGAAATGGAGAACAGCCACGCTCAATATACGCGTCCGTGGTTGCGTGAACGATCGGTCGGGATCGCGATCGATTTCAGGAGAAGCATCATCGCAGGATACCGGTGACCGAGAACTACACGTTGACCGGCCTCTATCCGAACACCTTGTACTACGTTTGGCTGGCTGCTCGGAGTCAACGGGGGGAAGGAGCTACGACGATACCGTATCCGGTTCGCACGAAGCAGTACGGTAAGCAGATAATCAAACGAACGAGCGAGAAAAGCGGAAAGGAATGGAGGAGGAAAAAGAAAAGAAGAAAGAAAAAAAAGAAAAAAAAAAAAATAAGAGTGAATTCACGCAGCGAGGAGTGCCGATTAAAAATCGATTCGCGATTGTTCGAGGCGAGGAATAGAGCGGGAGGGAGGGAGGGAGGGGGGCGGAGGGGAGGGGGGAAAGGGGACGAAATAAAAAGAGTTTAAATATCATTTCGCGATGAATCGCGAGATATAGTCGCAAACGAACGCAATCGCGAATCGTTTTGGCACGGCAGGTAGGAGGTGCTGTAGAGTTAGAGACGCTCCCGCAAGTAGCGTAAGCTAAATAAATTAATCCGCAACACCTTTCGATATTCAGAGACGATGGATCGATGATGATTCGTATGATCGCGTATTCGTGTTTGGGGACGGACGATGGATGGATGGGTGGTGGGTGGGTGGGTGGGTGGGAGGGGAAAAAAAAATGAGAAAAGAGAAGACGGAAGATAGAGAGTATCGTTGAAATCGTGAAGTGTGGGAGAGTGAGAATGATTGCATGCGTTGCAAATAAGACAAGCCGTTTTTGGATGCCACTTATATATATATATATATATATATATCTATCTATATATATACGTACATATCATTACATATAAATTGCACTAAGCACTGCATCGATATATGTGTGCATTTTGGGCACCTCTTTTCATTCTTGATAACGTATGGTTTACGTCCGTTCTTCAGTTTTCTTTTTTTTTAATTGTCTCTTGTCTCCTTGTCTCTCGATCGAGGCACCACGTTAACTCAACGCGATATATAATGATATACGCGCGAGTTAACGGATCGGGAAATTTCTCTAATCACGTAATTTTTCGACTGTTCAAGGATCGACTCGTGAGTTTTTCCTTGAGATTGATTCGTACCTCTCTCTCTC